TTCCCTGATGTTACAACGGAAAAAAAAAGGTATTCCCCGTGTAACTTCGATGTCACCCCTTTTGGCAGTTTCTGCGTGCCCACCTCCCGCTTTGCTCGGGCCCCTTTGAGGGGGGCCCACGTATTCGTGAGTCGGCAGGGAACTATGGGTTTGAACGACGTTTTTTCCCTTTTTGCACCCCTTGAACAAATGCTTTAAAAGGCTAATCGGGGTTTGGGGGAAAGACGTGGCGCAAAAGTTTTCTCAACCCCCCCATGCCCCCTGGGGGGTGGCCGGAAAGGAAAAAGGGGGGGGGGCGGGGGGTTTTAAGGGGGGGAAACCCCCCCCTTTTTTGGGGGGCTTCGGGAATTATTGAGGGGAAATGGGGGGTTTTTTCCCCCCCCAGCGGGACAGGAGTGGAGGAGCGGGGAGCATCGGGTTAGAGGAGGAGGGGGAGGAGACAGAGGACCCAGACCCCACCGTGGCAGTATGCTGTGGGGGTTTGGGAGGCGGGGGGATTTCCTCGCATTCCTTGGCAAAAATGGCCCTTAGCATGCTCGTTTTGTTTTGCGTAGCGACAGCCCGAATAAAAACCATCAGACAGAGGGATGATTTTTGGCTGTCCCCCTTTTGTTGGACCCTCGCAAACCTTTCCCAAAAATGGGGGCCCCTTTTTCACACCTGCTGGAGGGAGGCCAAAATAACGTACTAAAAAACCCACCTATGTAGTCAGTTGGTCTTCCCTTTTGGGGCCCCAAAACGTCCACCCTTTCAGACATTTGTGGGCCTATGCGCTGCTTTCCCGCTCCCCAAAATGGCAGCGGGGGAAAGGGGTGGGGGGGTAGGGCAGGGGCCCAGTCCCCAGCAGCGGCTCCCTCAGTCTGCGGTGGGGATGATGGTAGTTTTCTTCACCAGCGCGGGTGAGGAAAGTAAAACCACCCGCAGCAGCGCAGCATCAGGTGGCCCTGGAGCAGGCCCTAAAACAACAGGTTTGGGGGCCTACTTGGACACCCCCCCTTTCCAAACCGGGTAGGACAATCCCCTTTGACTATGGGCAACGAAAACTTGTTTTTGGGCCCCCAACTAGTAATTTTTCCCCTTTGGGAAAGGGGCTGCCCATCCCCGGGCCCAAGAAAAGGGGGGCTCCATGGGGAGCGGGTTTTTTTTTTAGTGCGGCAGGAGGTATTGAAATTTCCCGCGGAGGACCCCGACTGTCCCCCCAAAAATTTTGGGAGAGACTCACGTTTGTGAAAATGAATCGGCGTGGTTTTGTCTGGATTTCAAACCACCCGTTTCCCGACACAAAATTTTACTAAAAACCGCCATGAATTTATGCCTCAAAAATGTGCCCCCTTTAGGTTTTCCTCAAACTTTTGGTTCCCTTTTTTTTTTTTTTGTTGTCATTAGGGTGCCCGGCCCGATTACGGGCCCCCCATAGCTTTTCTGCCCGGGGCCCCCAAACTGCCATAGGCCCCTATTTACCGCCTCCTCATGCTGCTGCCAAGTCCAGAGTCTTCATGGGTCCCTGTTTTCGGGGCCCCCATTGCCCGCGGGCTCCATCGCCCCACTCGCCCTGTGCCCTTTCAGGTCTCCTTACACACTGCTGGTGTGTTGGAAAATTTTTTACATAGTTTTGTGGCAGATTACGGGGGCCTTCTATAGCTGCTGCCAGGCCCCTAATCTGGCCATAGGCCCCTATATACCGCCTCATTCATGCTTGCATGCCAGGTCCGAGTCTCTCATGGGTCCTGTTCGGGTGCCTCCCATTGTGCTGTCTCCATCGCCACACTCTGCCATGTGCCACGTTCAGGTCTCTCGCACACTGCTGGTGTGTTGAATTTTATTGACATAGGGTGCTGGCAGATTACGGGCCTCCCAATAGCTGGCATTCCAGGCCCCTGTAATCTGCCTATGGGCCCCTACTATATACCGTCTCTCACTACATGCTGCTGCCATGTCCAGATGTCTCTCACTGGGTTCCCTGGACGGTCCTTCCCATTTGCTGCTGTGTCTCCATCGCCACACTCTCTGCCATGTGCCACTTTTCAGAGTCTCTCCTCACACATTGCTGGTGTGTTGATTTTTTGACATAGGGTGCTGGCAGATTACGGGCATCCTATAGCTGCTGCCTGGTGGCCCCTAATGCTGCCATAGGACCGTTATAGTACCGCCTCCTCATGCATGCTGTGGCCAGGTCCCCAGAGTCTATACATGGGCTCCCTGTACGGCTCTACTCATTAGCTTGCTTTGTTTCTCCATCGCCACACTCTTGCCTATGTGCCGTACTTTCAGGTCTCCTCACACCACTGCTGTGTGTGTTGTGTATTTTTTTGACATAGGGTTGCTGGCAGATTACGGGCATCTCCTGATAGATGCTGCTGCCAGGCCCTTTATCTGCCTATAGGCCCCTATTATACCGCCTCCTCATGCTGCTGCCAGGTCCAGAGTTTCTGCCTTGGGTCCCTGTAAAGGCCTCCATTTGATGCTGTCTCCATCGCCACACTCTGCACATGTGCCATCTTTTCAAGGTTCTCTCACTCACTGCTGGTGTGTTCTGAACTTTTGTTGACCATAGTGTCCTGGCAGATTACGGGCCGTCCCTCCATATAGCTGCTGCCAGGCCCCTAATCATGCCTTAGGCCACCCTATATACCGCACTCCTCATGCATTGCTTGCCAGGTCCAGAGTCTTCTCATGGGTCCCTGTACGGCCTGCCCATTGGCTGCTTGTCTCCATTCGCTACACTCTGCCATGTGCCACTTTCAGGTCTCCCTCACACACCTCGCTGGGTGTGTTGAATTTTTGGTACATAGTGTGCTGGACAGATGTTACAGGGACTCCTTATAGCTGCTACCGCAGGCCCCTTAATCTGCCATAGGCCTATTATTAACCAGCGCATCTCCTCATGCTGCTGTGTCCAGGTCCCTAGTAGGTCACTCTCATGGGTCACTGTACGGCCCTCCCATTGTCTGATGTCACCCATTCGCCTCACTCTGGGCCATGTTGGCCACGTTCAGGTATCCTTCACACAACTGCTTGGTGTGTGTTGTTATTTTTTTTTTTCTTTGTCATAGGGTTGCTGGCCAGATTAAGGGCCTCATATAGCTGCGGCTGCCAGTGTCCCTTAATCTGCCATGGGCCCCTATACCGCCTCACTCATGCTGCTGCCAGGTCACACAGTCTCTCATGCCATTGTGCACACTGTTCAGGTCTCTCTCACAGTGATGCTGAGTGTGTGTGAAATTTTTTGACATAGGGTGCTGGGCAGATTACGGGCCTCCCCATAGCTGCTGCCCATGGCCCCTAGATTCTGGCAATGGGGCCCCTATGATTACCGCCTGCTCAGCTGCTGCCAAGGTCCAGAGTCTCTCATGGGTCCTGTTACGGCCTCCCATTGCATGCGTCTCCATCGCCACACTCTGCCTATGTGCCACTTTCTGGTTCTCCTCTATCACGCTGCTGTTTTGATGTTGAATTTTTTGGACATAGGGGTGGCTTTCTTTTGTTTTGCAGATTACGGGCCTCCTTATAGCTGCTGCCAGGGCCTCCTAATCTGCCCATAGGCCCCTATATACCGCCGCCTCATGCTGACTGCCTGGTCCACAGTCTCTCATTCATGGGTCACTGTCACGGTCCTCCTCACACTGCTGCTGTGTCTCCATCAGCCTCACAAGGGTGGCTGCCAGATTACGGCCACCTTTCAGGTTGCTGGCCAGGCCCCACACTCTGACATGATGGCCCCTGTGTTGTACCGCCTCCTCATGCTGCTGACAGGTCCAGAGTCCTTCATGGGTTCCCTGTACGGCCTCCCATTGCTGCTGCCTCCATCGCTATACCTCTGCCATGTGCCACTTTCCAGGACCCTCACACACTGCTGTGGTGTTGAATTTTTTGACATAGGTCACGCGTGCTGGCAGAATTACGTAGCCTCCATAGCTGCTGCCAGGCCCCTATTTACCACCTCCGCATGGCTGCTGCCAGGTCCATATCTCGAACAATGGGACCGCTGTACGGCATCCCATTGCTGCTGTCTCCATCGCCACACTTGCCAAATCGTGCCATACTTTCAGGTCTCCTCACAACTGCTGTGTGTGTGAATTTTTTTGACATAGGGTGTCTGGCAGATTACCGGGCCACCTATAGCTGCTGCCAGCCCCAAATCTTGCCATAGGCCCCATAAAAGAAAAAAACCTGCCTTCCTCATATGCCTGCTGCCAGGTCAGAGTCCTCTCATGGGTCCCTGTACAGCGCCTCCCATTGAAAATGCTGTCTCCTCGCCACACTCTTGCCATGTGCCACGACACTATCAGGTCTCATCCTACACACTGCATGGTGTGTTGGAATTTTTTGACACCCCCTTGAGCATGCAGCTGGCAGAACGGAATTGCACAGCATCGCTGATCTGCGACGTTGCAACAAGGTGGAATTCAACCCTACACATGTTGACCGCCTTACGAACAGCGAAAGGCCATCACCGATTTCCTGATGTTACAACGGATAAAGGTACTCCCCTGGTAACTTCGATGTCAGCCATTGGCAGCTCATGCGTGACACCTGCGCTTGCCCAGGCCCTTTGAGGAGGCCACGCTATTCGTGTAGTCGGCAGGACTATGGGATGAACGACGTCATTCCTCTGTTCTGCACGTCCTGGAACAAATGCTGTTAACAATGGCTGGTCAGGGTGCGGTACAAAACGTGGCGCACAGATCTCAACGCCACATGACCCCCTGTGGGGGCAGGACAGGAAGAAGAGGAGGAGGTAGAGGAGGACATTGGTGCTCAGGAATTAATTGAGTGAAATGGGTGGTTTTTCCACTCAGCGGACAGGAGTGGAGGAGCAGGAGCATCTGGTAGAGGAGGAGGAGAGGAGGAGACAGAAGAGACCCAGGACGCACCGTGGCAGTATGCTGTGGAGATGGAGGCAGGGAGTCCCTCGCATTCCTTGGCACAAATGGCCCATAGCATGCTCGGTTGTTCTTGCGTAGCGACAGTCCGATAATATTACCATCAGACAGAGGGATGACTTTTGGCTGTCCACCTTGTTGGAACCCTCGCTACGTTCCAAAATGGTGGCCTTTTTTTCACACCTGCTTGAGAGGGAGGCCAAAATAACGTACTATAAAAACGCCACCTATGTAATTCAGTTGGTCTCTGCCTTTGTGCGCCAGATATCCATCCTCAGACACTGTGGGCCCTGTGCGCTCGCGTTCCGCTGCCATGGCAGCAGGGGAGGGGTGGGGTGGTAGGAGCATGCAGTGGCAGCTCCACCAGCAGCGGCTGCCTCAGTCTGCAGTCGATGATGAGTAGCTTTCTTCCACCAGCGCAGTGAGGAAACTACTAACCAGCCGCAGCAGCAGCAGCAGCAGCATCAGGTGGACCTGGAGCAGGACCTCAAACAACAGGCTTGGGCCTACTTGGACAGCACCCTGCCAACCGAGGTAGACAATCCCCTTGACTACTGGGCAACGAAACTTGACCTTTGGCCCAACTAGCTGAATTTGCCCTTGAAAGGCTGTCATGCCCGGCCAGTAGCGTGGCATCGGAGCGCGTGTTTAGTGTGCGGCAGGAGGTATTGTAACTCCGCGGAGGACACGACTGTCCACCCAAAGTGTGGAGAGACTCACGTTGTGAAAATGAATCAGGCGTGGATTAGTCTGGATTTCAAACCACCAGTTCCTGACACAACTGACTAAATCCGCCATGAATCATGCCCAAACATGTGGCCACTTTCAGGTCTCCTCACACTGCTGGTGTGTTCCATTTTTTTGTCATAGGGTGCTGGCAGATTACGGGCCTCCCATAGCTGCTGCCAGGCCCCTAATCTGCCATGGGCCCCTATATACCGCCTCCTCATGCTGCTGCCAAGTCCAGAGTCTCTCATGGGTCCCAGTACGGCCTCCCATTGCTGCTGTCTCCATCGCCACACTCTGCATGTGCCACTTTCAGGTCTCCTCACACTGCTGGTGTGTTCAATATTTTGACATAGGGTGGCGGGCAAATTACGGGCCTCCCATAGCTGCTGCCAGGCCCTTAATCTGCCATGGGCCCCTATACCGCCTCCTCATGCTGCTGCCAGGTCCACAGTCTCTCATGGGTCCCTGTACGGCCTCCCCATTGCTGCTGTCTCCATCGCCACACTCTGCCATGTGCAACTTTCAGGTCTCCTCACACACTGCTGGGTGTGTTCCATTTTTTTGTCATAGGGTGCTGGCAGATTACGGGCCTCCCATTGCTGCTGCCAGGCCAGTAATCTGCCATGGGCCCCGGTACCGCCTGGTCACGCTGCTGCTGGGTCCACAGTGTGACATGGGTCCCCTGTACCGCCTCTCCATTGCTCCCACTCTGCCATGTGCCACTTTCAGGTCTCCTCTCACACTCCTGCTGGTTTCCAATTTTTTGTCATAGGTTGCTGGCAGATTACAGGCCTCCTATAGGTGCTGCCAGGCCCCAAATCTGCCATGGGCCCCCGTACCGCCTCGTCACGCTGCTGCTGGGTCCACAGTGTGACATGGGTCCCTGTACCGCCTCCCATTGCTCCCACTCTGCCATGTGCCACTTTCAGGTCTCCTCACACTCCTGCTGGTTTCCATTTTGCCATAGGTTGCTGTATGGCCTCACATTGCTGCTGCCTCCACCGCCACACTGTGGCTCCAAACACTGGTTTTGGCCCCGTGACTCTCCAAATGAGTGAAGTGTGCGGTGATTCTAAGATCTCGACGGCACTCATCTGCATGTCATACTGACTGACAGTATTATTTCTCTTCCCCAGCAGACTCCAAGGGCATTTAAATTAAAGGTACAGTGTTCTGCACTAATATTAAGTCTCTCTGAAGCCTAGAAAAATCACCCTTTTTTAAGTTAAATTCACAGCGAATATATTCGACTCGAATCGAATATTTTCCACGAATTCGCCGAATCAGTCGAATCGAATTTTTGAATACTTCGCTCATCTCTAGTGCAGATATCATGTGTATATTTATTTTTTAGATATGTAGGTAAAAATTGAACAGGATTTTTGCCCAGTTTTTATTACAGCCTAGTGTAATTTCTGGGCTTGTTTGTGTTACAAGAGTTATACTATCAGGTTCATATGGTAATACAGTTCACCAGGTGAGAGATTGAACCATTTCAATTATTTTTAAGTGATTTTTAGTTTTCGTTTTATAATTTATGTCATTAGGATTGGAGTTGCCCTTTAACTTGCACTGGCCCTTTAAAAATAAATATATTTCATTTATGTATAATTATTGATATCATTATTATTCTCAGCTTGCTAGGATGTCGGATAATGAAATGCGTAGGACGGAGCCTCGGAGGTGACATCACCACCTATGGGTGAGCTGCCTTTGTCTGTTTAGACCAGAGCAATACCTATTATAGTGATTTCTTATGCTTGTGTGATGCTAGTGTCGGCTCTGACACTGATTAATGTGAGTGGTTTTAACATGTTCAATGCATTTAATAAAGCCTGGATGGTTTTACACTGTGTGAATTCCTTTTTTCTTCCTCCGTGTCCGATTCTGATTATATGAGGAGCCAATTGCTATTTGAAGGAGTTTCTATCATCTGTTGTGTGCTGCTGCAGATCGTTGCTCCCAGAGCACAAGCGGTTATAGCTGTTTTATAATCTTACCATCATGGAGCTGTGGTGAGTGGATCCAATTGATTTGGTGGTGGATTCTCACGTTTTTTTTTTGATTCACATTGTATGAGAAGTTTAAAGAAGAGTCATTGGTTCACAAATACAAATTTTTGTATACTTTTTATTTATTTATTTATTTATACAATTTATGGACTTTTTGTTGGACACTTATTTATATATTTTTTCTCTGATTTGAAAAAATATTTTTGATTGATTTGTCACATTCATCTGATATTATTTGATATATGATTTATTCACATTATAATACTTTCTGAGTTCACTCATTTAGAGATATATTATTTTAAAGAGCGCTGCCTTTCTTTTTTTTTTTTGCTTTTTAGATTGATCCAGAGAATGCAGCTACACCTTTTGCTTTAGGCTTCAGTCGTCTTCTGTGTCAGGTAGAAGAAATAATTATCTGGTATTCTGATCCGAAGGGGGTGACCCAGAAAGAATGGAAGGAAGAGACAGGAAGAGAGGGGAAGGTGTAGGTAACTGATGGGGAATGAGAGAGAGGAAAATAGATACAAAGGTGTCTGGAAAATAGGATGCACATAGCAATTGTGTTTCCTTTCAAAATTAATCAAGGGTACCTTATTAACCTAAGTCTAATTCAGTCCTTTAGTGGCTTTGTAGGTTTCAGAGGATTGGAAGTCTTTCCATGCCTTCCATGTGTTATTGAACTGAGTTAGTCCGTCTAGTTTGTAGTGCATAATGGATCCCATGACATGAATATGGCTACATGTTCTACCCACTCCCTCAGAGAAGGAACTGTGGGGTATCTCCAAAGTCTGGGGATCAACACATGTGCTGTGTGTATCAAGTGCCTGGTCAAATGTTTAGGTGGGGGATTAAGACCATCTATCTCAACATGTTGTAAGAAGATTTATATGGACTAAGAGAGGTTCAAGCCTGTGACCAGGGGGCGGACTGACAACTCATGGGACCCCCTGGCAATAGGGGATCATGGGGCCCCTGTGTCCTTGCCCAAACTTAAAAAAGCCTATGAAAAAGGTACCAGGGGCATCTCATGGGGCCCCCTACTGACTCGGGGCCCTCGGGCAGTGCCC